TATCTAGTTTTTCAAATCCGAACTCGAATACTTGGTATTTGATAAATATTCATGAATATTTACGAATACTTATCGAATATCAAAGTATATTTATTCTGCGTGAATATTTACGAATACTTATCGAATATCAGAATATATTTATTCTACAAAAAAGTTTGATTTTCAAATAGTATTAAAATTCATAAATAAATATTATTTCTTTATAATATATGATGTATATATTTAAATTAAAATTTAATTAAAAAACAAATTTAAGATTATTTAAGTCTTAAAATTAATATATAAAACTTAAGTAGAAGTGGTAAGTGAGTTCAAAATAAAACATTATATGTGCAATAATACAAATAATAAAGTGTGATCAAATTTTAAACGAATATTTAATAGACAAACGAATCGAATATATATCTGGTTAAATTCTATTCGTTAGTAAACTCGAATACTAAAAAATATTTATTTAGTGATAAATGAACTACTGAATTGAATATGACCGAATAGTCATTCGAACAATTATCGAACTATTTGTTAATTGTTTGGTTCATTTCCACCCTACTATCACCTCTAAATTATAATCTTTTATAGGACAAAGATTGTCAAACCCTCTCTCTCACAATACCCTTGAACCCAGTTATACCCCCTAAAACCCTGATTACAAGAATATTGTCTCTCTCCTCTCTACTCTGAAAACCTAGAATAGAATGCCTTATTTAAAGACACCCCTGTTTACCCGCCAAGTTAATTTGGCTTTTAAGAAAACTATTAGGATTGGGCCTAGCCTTCAAACCCGCGTCCGATTTGGAGTTTGAGTTGGTACCCAACATATTCTCCCTCGACGAAAAATCTCCAAGTGTCTCAACTGCTTTAGAAAAACTAACTCTCTTCTTCTTGTTCTTCACCTCTCCTTTGTGGACAAGAGTATAAGAAGAGTCATCTACACCATTAACAGATCACCCATCTAAATAGCAAACATGGTTGCTATTCTTCCTCCCTCGTAAATCAAATTACCATCTCTATACACTTTGCACCACTCTCCTTCACCCACATACTTGTACCTACGTGATGCCATCTCACCTAATGAAATTAAATTAGCACCACATGATGGTACATATCTCACATAACGAAGAATTCCGACCTTCCCAGTGTGAAGCTTGAGATGAACACTCCCAACGCCTTCAACCTTCATCTTCTCGTTATTTCCAATGATCATATCGTCAAATTACTCATCTGTCCTCAATGTGTCAAAATAATTTTTGTTATTGCAAATGTGCATAGAGGCTGCAGAATCTAACACCTAAGTGTTACTCACATGTCGCATTAATACATGTACTCTGCATCAACAATACTACATCTTCATCACACATAACTATCGAGAAGTCTGCCTTCTTTCTATTTTCTTGAAGCTTCATCTATCTAATACTTTTCAAATCATCTCGCATCTGGGAACATCTGAACTGAATGTGACCTTTCTCTCCCTAATAATAGCACTCCTTTTCGCTGTCGTCTCGGGCCCGAGATTTTAACCTTTCGCGATAACTGTTACGTCTCCCCTTACTCCTCCCTCGATTAGAACGTTTAAGAGCTAGTGCACTCTCATCATCACTAGATACGCTCTCCTTTCCTATCATTCTTTCATTCTCACGTGGGAGTGTTGTCACATTATCAAACATCAAAGTCTGCTTCCCTACAATTATCATCTGAACTAACGGCTTGTACGACTTCAAAAAGAAAGACAATAGGAGTAGCGGTTGTTCTTCTTCTTTAATCTCCTCATCAATATTCATAAGTTGGTAAACTAGCTGATTAAAGACATTAATGTGATCTTGAATTGCAGTACTTTCTTCCATCTTCAACGAATAAAGCCCATCCTCAAACATAATTGGTTGGTCATCAACTTTGATGTATAAATCCCCTCGAGCCTTTCCCACAGCTCCCTTGGTGTGGTCTCTTGCATAACATTGTAATTAATCTCGGAGGCAAGTACCAAACAAATTGTGCTAACTGCCCTCTTTAGCATGGAACTCCATTCAGCATCCTTCAACCCTTTAGGTTTCTTCTCCTCCAAAGCTTTATAAACATCATGCAACACAATAATATCTTGAACCGTACACTGCAACATTTGTCTTGTCATTAAATAGCGGACTATCAAACTTCGGTCAACTAAAGATTACATCTAACATCACAAAAGAAAACATCACACTTGCAAGCAAAAAAATAAAAATAAATGGTGTAGTTTTTCTTATTTCCTAATTTATTGCAATTAGTGTAATTTTTTAATGTCCTAATTTTTATGTTGTATTTTTTTTATCTAAATGGTATAGTTTTTCTTATTTCTTCATTTGGTTCTAGTATTATGAAATTTTAAGTGTTTAGATTAAATTATCTATTTTTTCATTGTTGAATTTATTTTAATAATTATTTTATACTTTAATTTTATTATAATAGTTAATATAAAATAATAAATATTATTAATAAAAATATTTAAAAAAAGAATAGCACTATTGCTATAGTGTTGTGACATTCTTGGCGCACTGTAGCACCCCTCCAAAATAGCGCCCATTTTGGCGCTACGTTGGAGGGGGAAAAGGGCCCAAACAACGCAAAAATAAAAATTTGGCGTTGCATTGGAGAAGCTCTTAGGTGATCATATTGGTGAATGAAATATTTCTCATTGACCCAAAAGAAAAAAATTCACAGTTTTGGTGCAGTGGCAGGTACATTAAAAGGGTTTTAGAATAACTTACATTACAAATTCTATTTGCCACAAATTTAAAGCAGATTTTAGAAAAGATTTATATTATTGCCTGCATCTAGCTTTTAACTCAAAAAAAAGAGAGAGCTCAAATTAGGGTTGGATGTTTTTTTTTGTGGGGGTGGGGGTGGGGTGGGAGGGGGGGG